ATATAATACAATAGGCTAGAGAGTGGAGCGGTAGGGCAAAAGAAGGGAGATAAAAAAAATGATGATGAAGAAAAAAGTCAACGCAGATTCACCTTGAGAAGAAAATATTGATCGATCACTTAAAGTCTTAAACACTAAACAAACTTTTTTTCAAAGCGTAAACATCAAAAACTGCTAAGATAATTGTGTAAACACGTAAAGATACAAGATTGTGTAGACGTAAGAGAATTTTGTAGACATGATTTAGGTATCATTGGTTGACGATAGCTAAATCATAATTGTGTTAGACATAAGGATACAAGATCATTGTTGTTAAAAAAAAGGATACAAGATCATCATGATGTGCTAAAAACTTGATTAAGAAAATCCCATTATTTGCATATAAAGTTTCCTCTAAGAAAAGATAAATATGTTCAAATTCACCACAATGATTCTTTCAAAATCGAATGATAAAGAAACTATCCGAAACAGATCAGAAGAAGTCAGTCACACAGACTTTTCAAATACCCAAATTCGTTAGGTGTAACCGGGCTACAAATAAACCACGACGATCGAACATATAGGCCCAGAGTGATACTATATGGGCTTTAAAAGGCCCAATATTATAATTGAGATCCGGTAGTGGGGCCCGTAGTGAGCTGTAAATAGAATTGCAAGGCTGTTGGATGAATGATGACGAGAGGTGTGGGCCACGTGGGGAAGAATGTGTTTTGCTTTTTTGGTCTAAAGGCGTGAGGAGACAGCTCTGTCTCTTTGCCTTTTTCTCTTTACTCTTTTTTTTTCTTCTTCTGTTTCATTATTGATTTTAATTATGAGCCTTGCCCATATATGCCTGCTCCGTTTCTCTTTATTTAGAGCAAAATTCTAAAGTTTCTACTGAACATTATAATATTAATCATAATGTTGATTGATTAGTCTTAAAAGTGTTTTAGAGTAACTAGTTTTGGACTATTGGCCGAAGATTAGACCGGCTTTTTTTGTTGTTGTTGTGACTTGTGAGATCTCATTTCAAGTTCAAAAAGAGAATTCCAGACGCAAATGTTACAAATTATAAGTTTACTTTATCAAAAAAAAATTATAAGTTTAAAAAAAAGAAAAAAAATAATACGTTGGAATTTAATTTTTCATAGGCTTGCTCTTTCTCTTGTTAATCAGGTTTGGATGGATAAATATGTAAATTGGCATGAGTATGATTAATAGCAACGAAGGAACGCATGAATAATGGCATTTATTATACACGATTAAATTTGATGTAACAGAAAAATCGAAAATAGCGTTTGATTATTGTCATTAAATCATTTGTTTTTTGCACATAGATTGATTTAGATATAAATCACGAAATCCGCATAACTTGTGATTAATGAAATGTTCTGCGAACTATCAATCAAACTTAAGTATGATCCTCTTTAGAAAAAAAAAAAAAAACTAACATTTCAACATGTAAGAATACAAATTTAGCCGACAGAAAAAAAGAAAAATATACCAATATTAAATAAGTAGCTCAAATATATTTTGTCCAAATGTAAATCTATTTACAGAGTGGATGCGACCAAAAATAAAGTGTACATGCACAGTGACCGTACAATAAAATGTCATTGATATTTGCGAAAAGTTGAGATTAAATAATTGAATGAGTGTGTCCCCAATTCCTTTCTTTTTTCCGGTTTTTTCACTGACTTTTCCTTGAATCCTCTTCCCACCAATCTTCTCTCTCTCTCTCTCTCTCTCTCTCAACTACCGATTCTGCTTCTGTTCCCAAAATCGCCAACTTTTTTTCGCGGGTATCGTTGAATTGCGTTGTTTGTTTCTGATCGAAGTCGCAACAAGAAAATGGAAGACACGACATTCACCAAAGTGTTCGTTGGAGGATTAGCATGGGAAACCCACAAAACCTCTCTCAGGACTTACTTCGAACAGTTTGGAGACATTGTTGAAGCTGTCGTCATCACTGACAAATCCAGCGGCAGATCCAAAGGCTACGGCTTTGTAAGTGTCTCTCTTCTCGTTTTCTTTTACTCAAAGGCTGTAGCTTTAAGCTCACGGATTCTGTTTTTTTTTTTTTTTTTTCTTTTTTCTTTCTTTAGGTGACTTTTTGTGATCCGGAAGCAGCTCAGAAAGCATGTGTAGATCCAGCTCCTGTCATCGATGGGAGGAGAGCTAATTGCAATCTTGCTGCTTTTGGTGTTCAGAGATCCAAACCTTCTTCTCCTATTCATGGTATCTTTGGTTTCTTTAAGTTTCTGTCTTCTTATACTTGATCTAATTGATCTTTTTGAAAAATCCTACTCAAAAAGTATAGACCAGAAATAATATGATTGTAAAATCGTATTATGTAACTCCATGGATCTTACCATTACTAAAAGCCTGAAAGTGTATGTCTTGAATCACGTAAAGCTAGATACTTTATAACTTGTGTTAGGGCACACTGGAGAAAGATAAAATGAGTTACTTCATTTTGATCCTACTAAGTTGATTGAGCCAACTGGTAAAATATCCATTTTCTTGACTCCTCATGATTTTCTACAGAACACTAGTTAGGTTTTTAACCTAAGGGTTTGTTTGATACTCTGAAAATGTATCACTTTGCATAAATTTGGTTTTTCAAAACCTAGATGATAGTCTTTGAGGTTAAATATGTCTGAGTTTTGATCTTTGATGTAAGTAAATGTTTGAGAGGACATTCTCATGGTGTTGTGTGTTTTGGCAGGTCACGTAGGAGGAAGAGGCGTGAAGGTCACTACCCCTTTCAAGACACACTTTGGCGCAGCCCCTGCTCTTCCTTCCCCACTTCCATTCTCTCACTACACACTTCCTTACACTAATCCTTTTGGGTACTCCACGTTTTATCTCTTACTTCTTTTGCAAACTCATCACTCAAAATAGTCTGATAATCCTCTGTTTGGTCTCATTAAACTTTCTTTTTAGGTTCTCTTCCTACTCAATGGATTACAATTACCCCACGGTATGTACACTGTGCATATTCTCAAATGACTATGAGAGTCTCTCCCTTATAGCTTATTGGATGTCTCTTTATAGCAGAGCTACTACAATGTTTATGGAGGAGCAACTGCTCAGCATCCAATGTATGGCAGCGGACCAATGACTGGTGTAGCAGCAGCAGCACCGTTCTATCCATATCTCCAGTTTGCTGAAGGAAACGGACCCGTCACTGGTTATGCGCCTCTCCACTACCCCAACCACATGTTTCACTATCCCACTCTTGCATCATCTACCGGTGGAAACTACCCACATCACAATGGCTCGCCAGTGTCTCTTGCACCTTCACCAGTCATACCATCAGGTTTGTGTCTTTATCTGTTTTTCTGCTCCTTTATAGACAATCTTGAAATCCAGAGGTACTGATACTTATGTTCTCAGCAGTGTGCTTCGCAGTTCCACAGGCTTGACCACAAAAGGCCTCATGGTTCACCTCTGGTTCCATGATGCTCTGTGTAGAAGGCAAGCTTTTGTTTACTAGTTTCATCCGCATGCCTCGAAGTTTCCACAAGACCTGTGGCCTAACCATGGTTGCCCTTTTTCCCTTTGCTGCTTCTAACCCCATTAGGCAAGATCCCATAATTTGGAGTTTGGGCATCTTTGCAAGTTCTAGTTAAAGTCTCACATAGGGATTTAACTTGGACCATAGACATACACATTCATTAGTCATCTTTCCATTTTTCTCATTGCATCATCACCTGCTTCTGAACGAAAAGGTTTCGTTCAAGATAGCTTGTTCAAGCTCTAGAATTAGAAGTATCAACTTAAGTAAGTAAGAGTTACATTGTCTTGCACAGTGCCTCGGAAAGGCAAGCAATTTTGTAGTAAAAAAACTTAAGAGATTAGGATTGGCTGATCAACAAGAAAGGAAATAAGGCACAAGAAGTGAATTGCCAGCACTTGGGAAGTGTTTGAAGTAGTGTGTGTGCAAAGGTGTGCCCACTACTTCTCGCAATATCCATTTTAATGCGCAGTCTTAGGATTATTAGATCTAGGACCATGTTGTTACGAAAATGTGTTATCGTAGAAAGCTAGGACATAGAAGTTCTCTGCCATCAAGAAAAGCACAGAACAAGGCCTCATAAACTTCCTTTTAAGGAGAAAGGAAGTAAATAGTGTTTATGAACATGTACATTCTTGGTGGCTAAGCTTTGGAGTTATAGCCACACTTGAACTAACTTTAGATTAAGATCATTTCTATGATTCATAGCTCATGATAGTTTTTTTTCAACCAACCCCACTGATGGGAATGTGGGGTCATTGCATTTGCATGTTTTGCCTCTTGGGACATATTTTGGTTCCCTTTAGGTTCTTCTCATAACATCAACTAAACCAGTTGACCAACCATGGTTAGGATTCAGGTGAGAGGTATTCATCACCTCCTTATTATCTCTCTTTTTACTCTTTCCTCTGTTTCGTCAAGACCAAAAAAACTCTCTTTAGACTCTTCTATGTAATGTACTTGTTGTTTATCTTGTAAGCGTGTGATTCTGATTCTATGTAAGAAAACAAAACCTTTCATTCTCCATCCTCGGTGGTTGGTAAATGAATGATGTGATTGCAATATTTCACTTTTGATGTTATATAATCCTCTGATGAGTTATGACAATGTCTGCTCATATATTTATGTATCACTTAACCTTCGTTATCTTGAATTGAAGTTGCCTGAATTGCAGAGATTAAAACTCTTAACTTATTATGACCAAAAAGAACATTTTTTTCCATTCACATAAACAAATATAGAGCCTGAAACAAGCATCAAACTGTTTTTTTAAGTACAATGTGCTATAACTTCTTCCGGGTTTCACTAAATCATATGAACACAATCATCACAATCATATCATACATACATACACAAACCAAGGTAGAAACTTGAGCCTCTTACCTAAAAATACAATCAACAATGCTGCAGAGTATGTCAAACTGCAGTCTCTAAACAGAATTGCAGAAGAGAAAACACATATGTGAAAAGAATTATAGAGCTTGAATCTGGAAGCGTTTAATCAAGAACGTATACACTCAATGCCCTGACAAATAGCCAACCAAACACCAAGTAACGTCAAGCAAATAGCTGCATCAATAGCAAGAACAATCTTCACTTGACGCCGCCACTTCCTTTCAATGCTCTGAGAACCATTAGATCGTCCTCTTCTTGGAACATACGTTGCTTCTGCTGCTGCTGCTTCTGCTTCTGCAGATGAGGCGTTAGAACATTCCGTAACGTTTCCTCTATCAGTAGATTTCCGTTGTTCCTGTAACTCAATGCCTCTTAATGTATTCACATGATGATGATCTTTCACTTTCTTCTTCTCTTGCTTGTTGGATGATCTTCCCAGAAGTGGAGCTTTTGCAGTGGAAGTAGCTGCATCATCTATGGAAGGTGATGATAATGGAAGACAAGCGAGGTGATTAGTCACAGCAACACGCTCTAACGAAGCTATGAGTCTTCTAACAATCTGATCTTGAGCATTGCCAAAACCGATACTCCCAGAGAAACTTCCTCTCGAATTCTTCTTCTCTGCTTTCTTTAACTCGTCTCTAAGATTCTCCAGAAATTCAAGAACGCTGGATCTCTTGAAAACATCATCAACAATGGCGAAATACACAAACCCATCTTCGATCAAGAAACCAAAAGTCTTCTTGCGTATGGTTTCGAAGTACCATCTGTGGAAAGGAGGTGTCTTTTCCAGACACAACGCAGCGAGACTCTCGTTCCGTTGGTCTCCGCCATTGTTGTAAGAGTAAAGAATCTGATTGTCCCTTGAGACACAACAGTAGTGGACTGTGTTTTGGATTGATCCCATCGATTAGGGCAGCAGCGATGGAGAGCAGACAAGAAAGTCAAATTTGTAAGAAAAATTCTGGGAATATCAGAGAGTTTTAAGATCCTTATCTTTGCCAAGAAACAACGAAAGGAATCTTGGATGGACCAAAGAAGATGTATTGAAAGTGAGAGAAAGAGAAAGCATTAAAGCAGAGAGAGAGGACAAATCAAGCTCTCGTCTTTTTCCTCCAGAGATGAAGCAGAGACCTCGGAAAGTAATCTGAGATTGCTTATCTGATTTGATTTAGTCTCTCTCACCCACCTTTGACTCTGCTTTTTCTTTTTTTCCTCTCTTTATCTTTTGTTTCTTCCAGACTATAATGAAATCGCTAATTCGTTAATCTGTTTCTTTTATAACAGAACCAGAGACCATTTCTTTGTTTTTGCGCGCGAGCAAACGCAGGAGCATAGTGAGACAAGTTTCTCTGAGAAGAGGAAAATTTAGCAATTTCTAATGCACTAAAATGTTACATAAGTTTTACAATTACATGAAAAGGACTAAAACAAAAGTTGCAAATCATATTAACCAAGTCTACAATTAGTACAAGCATTCGATGTACCGATGCTGTTTCTTTCATCCTCCTCTTGCCTTTCTTTAGAGCTCTCTCCATCTGGATCACATTGTTGTTGATCTTGGTCATTGTTTCTGTGGTTTTCTTGCTGAGACTCCGGTTGATTCGAGACTTCTCCATCAGGGCTTGAGAGACTCGGACGAGGAGGATCTTCTTCTTCTTCTTCTTCTTGGCTTTGATGGGATTGGCTTGGGATAAGAGTGAGACGGCAAAGAGGGCAAGTGGAATGTGATGTGAGCCAAAGATCAATACAGTCCATGTGAAATGTGTGTCCACAAACCGGGATCTGTTGAAGCTTGTCATCTGCTTGATAGTCACCAAGGCACACTGAACATCTGCAAACTCAAAATTTCCCAAAATCAGTTTATTTATTCTTCATTCTAAAAGTTATTACAGTTTGGCTCTCAGTAACGAATGATCAAGTCCAATGATCTATACACTCACTGGGAAATATCAAAATCCTTTCAAAATAAGCTCTCTCTCCCTACCAAATTACATAATACACATCGTCTATAAATTAAATCCACCATAATCTCCTATAATTAATTATATGATCATGGAAGCAAATGTTGTGCCATTTCAACACCACCCATTATAAGTAACAATGTGACCTCAATTAGATCCAAACCGAAGATATCACATTTATCAACCAAGACAGATCAGACATAAAAATCTCATCTTTGTTTTCTTCGCCATTGTTAAACTTAGTCTAATTCATTATTCATGGAACCTTGCTGCTTTCTTTCACTACCCTAATTCATGATTTTCCTGCAATAAGCCTTTAAAAATCTCGCCCATGCTCATGAATCCATGAAAAGAATCTGGAAAACTCACTGTGAATCCATTATGGAGAAGCTCTCTTTAAAGACGACAATGGGGAGCATCTCTCTCAGCTCTTTGCTTAATCCTAATTCAGCCTGTTCATGTTCCAATCATTACACAACTAAACCCATCAACGAAATAGAAGCGATTTCAAGAGAAAAGAAACACAATTTAAGCCCAGAGATCTTCAAAATCATCATCAATGGGAAAAAGCTACAAACTTGGCCCAGAAGAAGAATGCTTTCTAAGCCAATTAAAAAGGCAGAAATTAAAGAGTTACCGTGTGGAGAGAGTTTCCGGCGAGGAAAGTAGTTCGCATTCCGAGGGAAGACAAATCGGAGCTGCCGCGACGGAGGTAGATCAAGTAGAACAAGAAGAGGATGATGAATGTGAAGCAGATTGGCACAGAAAAGATGAAAGCTTGGTATAGTTTAAGCTCCGGCGAGTTCGCGGCGGCGGCGGACGAACTGTAACTTTCTGGGTTTGAATTATAAGACATTATTACACACACACACACAGAGTCAAACAAACTTCAATGCCCCCAAAAAGTCTCAAAAAGCCGCTCCTTTAATTCCGTAGTGCAAGAGAGAGAGAGAGTGAAGAAACAAGAGATTCAAGATCGGAAAATGAAACAATAATGTATTTGTGTGTGTGCGTGTGAGAGAGAGAGAGAGAGATGTGGCAGAGTTTTCAGGTGGAGCATTTGGGAGGAAAGTGTCTGTTTCCAAATAAAAATGTGAGGATTAATATATGACCAAGAGAATTAGCAGGAAAATTAGATATAAGAATTAGGCGCATTAATGATTTTGATTAAGAAGTGTTAGTTAATTTTCCCTTAAGATTTTGGCCGAAAACAAAAGAGATTAGACTGATTAGTAGTGAGCCAAGTAAACAAGAAAAGCATGGAGGAAGGGAAACGTTACACGGGCTTACACCGATCATAAATCCACAAATTCTTTTATTTTTTTGGCACTTAGCCAAAATCATCATCAACTTGTCAATCTCAGGTCTTGTTCAATACTTGCTTTGCAACCAAATGGAGACACATACCATATTCTTTCTTGTTTTATTCAATCAAGTCATCAAAACTAGTTAGACCTAGCTTGATTATTATCTACAAAATAATATATAAAAATATAACATTTATTTATTTGGGAACCACATAGTTCTCAAGACATCCCATGTACTACTTGTTTACCTATAGTATCATCATATTACACAGTGACACAACGTGAAGCGTTGTTGACCCTAAACACTGATTTGATTTTACATAGTCAAGGCCTATTGCTGCATAACACTCACATCAACATAGCAGAAGAACAACACAAATTGACCAGACTCTCCAACGCTCTGCTTTGCTTGCACAAAACCAAGAACCTTGGTGTTTGCGTAAAAGCAAATACAAAGTTGGTGAAGTAGATGTGTGATTCTTGCTCTTGTTGATTCTAAGCGACCCTTTCCTTTGGCTTGAGTTCTGATGGTTTCTTTTCGGATGGAGAAGCAGAGCCGAATTTACGGACGAGGAATTTGAAACATGGTAGAAACAAGATGTATAGTCCAATGATCACAAATGGAGTTGCTATGAGCCATCCGAGTAGCTGCAAAATATATGATTCATGTTTAAAGCAAAGGTTATATCACAGCATTAATCTGCAACATTGAAGCTAGCACAGAAGAGCCTTACCGCGTTACCAATGCTAAAGAACACTTCTTTGGAAGCTTGGCCTGTAAAAACCTTCTTTAGTGCATCGGAGTTTAAAGGAAAATGAGGCCCACCGGTTATTTTCTCGCCAAGCCGCAAAAATGGCACCACAAGACTACAATGTTTGAGAAACCAAATCTTGCTTTGTGTTGTCAAAGGAAACTTTCAAAAGTGGAAAGTAAAATTGTTTACCTTAGTTCTATAGGAGTAGCAATGAAGTTAAACAACATCACAGTTGGAGCATGACAAAGTGATCCAAGCGACGCAATCGCAGCTCCACATAACAACACCGTAACACCTATTCAAAAAAAAAGCAAAGATCCTTCTACTTTGAGCTCACAAAACGCTATAATAAAGTTCTATAAAAAGCAACTCTTGGAACACAGAAACAAAAAGCTTTGATCTTAGTAAACAGAGAGTGTGTTACGAGAGAAAACGCACCACAGATTGGAAACACTCCCATTGTAATACCCAATGCCGCAGAGAAAGCCAGCTGCTTTGGCTCTGCACCTCTACAAGAAAAATCGAAAAAATAGCTAAAAAAAAAATCAAGTCTTCTAAAAATTTACAACATTCAACACTTTCTTTCACAAAGAAGCTACATGGTTAAACATAACTATAAGTTAACCAACGACGGAGCAATAACCAAAGGTCAGATTTTTCTGACTTAAAATCTACACAGTCCAGAAGTAGCAACAAGTTATCTATTTGATTCTAGGAGAATGGATCAAACTAACATCGATGAGCAAGTACACAGATTTAGGACACAAAGAGAACGATTTGATCACAATAAGATAGACGAATATCACTTTCGAATTGGAAAAGTGAATATGAAGAGAGTTACTGTAGAGAAAGAGAACCTGCGTACGATCTGGACAAGAGGTTCGCTGATCTTCTTATCGAACCAAGATTTCAACTTAACTCTCGAAATCGCCATCGCGGCTTGATTTCTTCAACAAAATTTGATGAAATGATTTCAGTTCACTGAAAAATCCTGAAGAAACTCAAATCGGCTTCTACTGATAATTTGTGCTTGGCTTGCCTCCTCGTCCACCGCTTTTACGGAACCGGGTTCGGGTAAACGGGTCAATTCAATGATAATGGGCCTTTATTGAGCTTTTTTAGTTGGGCTTTTTAGAATCCAAATAACTAAAGCGGGTCGACCCGACCTTCCCACTTGCGTTTTATTGTTCCCTCGCTGAAGCTAATTTTCAAAATCTCTGACTCCATTTTGAAATTTCCCCAGAGAAGGTGAGAGCTCTCGCGTGAAGCTCTGTTTCGAATCTTCAGATCTGATTCAAAAAACTCTTTCATCCGCTCGTTTGTTCTGAATCGAATTTTGATTATAGGTTTTTGAATCGAAATCCGAGAGTGAAAGAAGAGATGGAGGAGGAGTACCTGAAGCTGAAGACTCTCAAGTCAATCATCTTCTTCTGTAGAGAAACCAGCACCGATAGTGCTTAGCACTAGCCCAAGACCGTAATACCCGAGAAACCCGAAAGAAACAATAAACCCTCTAAGTATGAAGAGAAATATGGAAGAACACAAGAGAATACTTGAAAGACTTTTAAGAAGAACAAGAGAGAACTTAGCTTTAGAACACTCTTTATTAACTTGTTCAATTTCTTGTGCATTTACAAATGAGGGGGTGAGGAGGTATTTATAGCCTCCCAAATCTACTTACAAAGTTTCTACACTCTTCTATAACCTCCTTAGGTCCTAGATATTTCTTCTTCTTCTTCTACAACTTTCTACAAATTATCTTACAAGTTTATCCTAATCTCTAGAACTCTCTAACATAATATCTAGATTTCTTGTCTTACAAGAACTAGAAAGTTCTACATAAATATCTAGAGAGTTATCTAGTAGAATTCTCTAGAAAATTTGAGGAAGTGATGACCTCTTATGATGTTTCTAGAGAGTTCTAGAACTTGGGCCTAATTTTGGGTTTAATAATAATTTGTTTATGGACCCAAAATTAAACCTTGATCAAAATCAAGTTTAATTTCAATACTCCCCCTTAAACTTGATTTTATCAACCATCCCGAGTTTCGAGCGAAGTAACTCGAACTGACCTTTTGGTAGTGACTTGGTGAAGATATCTGCAACATTATCCTCACTTCGAACCTCCAAAGCTTCAATTGTTCCATCAAGCACCTTCTCCCGTATGAAGTGATGTTCCAACTCAATATGCTTCGTCCTTGCATGGAACACCGGATTGTTAGCCAGCTTGATAGCACTTTGGTTATCTCCATATATGGCAACCGGCTTGTTGATTGGCTCAAACAAATCTTCAAGAAGCCTTCGAAGCCAAATACACTCTTGGGCTGCGAGCGTCGAAGCTTTATACTCCGCTTCAGTGGTAGACAGCGACACCGTTGCTTGTTTCTTGCTGCACCATGAAACGCTTGTGTCTCCACACAAGAACACAAAGCCCGAAGTTGATTTTCGACCATCTAGATCTCCACCAAAGTCAGCATCCGTGAAGCCATAGAGAGAGACCTTGGCATTGTACTTGTACATTAGACCCATGCCAAGAGTTGTCTTCACATACTTCAAGATCTTCTTTGCCGCTTCTAGATGTGGCTTCCTTGGTGACTGCATAAACCGACTTACAAGACCAACCGCGAAGGAAATGTCAGGTCTTGTAATGGTTAAGTATAGAAGACTTCCCACAAGAGAACGATAAGGCCGAGGATCGGGTAGCAAGGATCCTTCATCGCGCTTCAGCTTGATGTTCGCATCCATCGGAGTAGTACGTGTCTTTCCTTCGTGTACCCCGAACTTCTCTACAATCCTTCTTGCGTAGCTATGTTGGCCGATGAATATTCCATCCTTCATCCTTTCAACCTCCAAACCAAGAAAGTTGTTCAGCTCACCCAACATCTTCATCTCAAACCTTATCGACATATCCTCTTGCAGACGAGCAATTTCCGCTTCATCATTCCCGGTAATTATCAAGTCATCCACATAAAGAAGGACTACCACGTGGACTCCTCCATTCTTCTTGAAGAACAGACTCGGATCAGAGTTCGACGGAGAGTAACCGCAAAACTGAAGAAACTGAGCAAGCTTTCCATACCAGGCCCTTGGAGCTTGTTTTAACCCATACAAAGCCTTCTTTAGCTTGCAAACATAATCGGGATGCTCTTGTGATATGTAACCAAGTGGTTGCTCCATATAGATTTCTTTATCAAGTTCTCCGTATAGAAAAGCGTTCTTCACATCTAACTGCCATAACTTCCAGCCAAAGCTTGCAGCTAAAGATAAGAGTGTACGTACCGTAGTCATCTTCGCCACTGGACTGAAAGTCTCATCATAGTCTTCTCCATACTTCTGAGAAAATCCCCGAGCAACCAATCTTGCTTTGTGTCTATCAATGTTTCCATCCCTCTTACGCTTGATCCGGTACACCCATTTGCATGAGACGGGTTGGACATCCTTGGGTTTTGGAACCAAATCCCAAGTTTCATTTTTCTTTAGAGCATCCATCTCCTCCTTCATTGCGGTCTCCCACTCTTTAACTCCTTTTGCTTCATCATAAGATGATGGTTCTTCTTCATCAAAAGGAGATGCAAAGTAGCATGAGTAAGTAGTAACAAACCTTTCATCTCTGTACCGAGCAGGTTTAACGATGTCCCGTTTTGGTCGTTGATTAGCCAAGGAACCATGATCTTCCTCCTCCTCTTCCTCTTGGTTAGTGCTCCCCCTTTCACCTTGCATCTCTGGTTCAGAAATTCCACCATCACTTGGTATCTGAGCAGCTGGTTCATCGTCTTTAAGTGAGCCCGCACCATCTTGCTCAACCAAGACTTGAGGAGATCCGTAATATGAAGACACTTCATCAAAGACAACATCACGAGATACAGTGTATCTGTGTGTCTCTGGATCCATACACCTCCACCCCTTCCTTTGTTCATCATAGCCGACAAAGATGCACTTTTTCGCCTTTGCCTCCAGCTTGGTTCTTTGAGAGTCGAACACATGGACATAGCAGATAGATCCAAATATCCTGAGATGTTTCACTGTTGGCTTCTTCCCATGAACCATCTCATAAGGAGACTTCATATTATTTGGACTAAGCGGCATCCGATTGATGACATAGGCTGCACATCTCATCCCTTCTGCCCATAGAGCCTTAGGCAAATTCTTCGCATGTAGCCAGCTTCTACACGTCTCACTTAGATGCCTTATCTTCCTTTCTGCTACTCCATTTTGTTGAGGTGTGTATGGACATGAAAATTCTCTCTTGATACCATGCTTTCGGCAGAAAGAGAGAAACTCGTTTGACATAAACTCCCCTCCATTATCCGTCCTTAAGGTCTTGATTTTCCGACCCAACTCTCCTTCCACGGTAACCTTGAATTCTTGAAACTTGGAGAATACTTCTGACTTTTCCTTCACAAAGTATACCCAGGTGTACCGTGAGTAATCATCAACGAACAACAGCATGTAGCGGAACCCGGAATAGGAGGATGTTCTCGTCGGACCCATCAAATCACTATGGATCCTCTCCAACGGAGCATTGCATCGTGAAGTAGAATTGTCAAATGGAAGTCTATGTGATTTTCCATATTGACAACCTTCACAAAGCTTTCCTTCATCTTGAATCTTCAACTTTGGGAGCCCATTAACCAGATCTTTATTCACCATAGCCTTCAGCTTAGTCATATTTATATGGCCAAGCCTAGCATGCCAAATAAAAGCATTATCATTCGTACTCATCTTCTCAATGTACGAATTTGAGGCCGATAAGACATAAAGATCTTTAACCCGTGCTCCGGTGTGAACTACGTCCGCCTTTAACTCTTGAATATTCTTCAAGAATTTAACGTCTTTTGGTCCAAATAAAACGTAGTTACCTGAGTCCACCGCATTCACCACGGAAAGAAGATTCTTCTTAACTCCAGGGACATGGTATACGTTCTTGAGAGTGATTGGGCCTCCTTCTTCTCCTTCAATAACAATAGTCCCTTCCTTCTCAACCCGGTGGATTGAATTATCCGCAGTGATAATAGCTTCTTTCCCGTCATGACGTTGAAGACTAGAAAATAACTTCTCGTTTCCGGTAATATGATGGCTACAACCCGAATCCACAATCCAATCATTTCCAAGATTTTTAGTTGTGGATGTACCTGAAGATGCAGCCTCCACCGTGAAACATTTCCCCCAATCTTCGTCTTCAGTATGACTTTTTGATTCCGCCATATTGGTTTCCTTCAGCTTGACCCGACAGTCCTTTTTGAAATGCCCAAGCTTTCCACACCGGTAACACTTGAACTGCTTCTTGTCTCCCGTAGAAGATCTTTCCCGTCCATCATTATTCTTTACACCATCATTCTTGGTTTTTCCTTTGTAGCTCTGTTGCCTCCGAGCTACAAAAGCGCTCCCCGAGTCATCATGGATTTTGACTCCCGCCATTTGCGTGGCTAAGGATTCTTGCGAAGCTAGCAGATTTTCAAACTCCTCCAAGGAAGGTTGTGTAGCCCATCCTTGAACGGAAGTCACAAACGGTGTATATTCGGGTCGTAAACCACGAATAATAGACCGCTTTAACCGAGCTTCCGAAATAGACTCCTCCGGATTAAGAGTGTTAATCTCAGAGCAAAGGTTCTTTACCTTGATGAAGAACTCTGAGATTGAAGACTCCCCCTGCTTCGCATTCGCCAACTCGTTCTCTAACAGTTGTAGACGAGCCTCATTCTTCTTGTTGAACAGTTGGTCCAACGCTTGCCAAATGGAACTAGCGGATGTGCACCTTGAGACATGCTCAAATACTCCCGAGGATATTGACCTCTTCAATGCAAACTCCGCCTTGGCATTCTTCCGTGTCCATTCCTTTGTCGCTTCCGCTGTCGCAGCAGCTCCCATTGGTGGTGTGGTGCTACTGCCGCCGACGACATCCCATAAGTCCTCACTCACCAAGTATGACTCCAT